AAGTTAGGATAATATAATTTGCGTTGCTGAAATCCTTGCAAGACAGAGATTAATTTAAATATAAGCATCATATATTTTGCTCAAGATATAAAAAATGTTGTACATTAGTATACAATACTGTAGTACATTTTATAAAAAGGTTCAACTGCATTTTTGGGTAGATTTACATAAATTTCTTCATTTATTTTCATCCATTTACATGCACACACCATACTAAAAGAAACGTAAAAGAAATATATGACCTTAGTGCAAAGCTGGAGTGCACATGTACTAATTTGATTACGGTACTAAAATTGTTATGTCTAGTGCGAATTACTGCATGTTTATATTCAAATAAATCAGTATCTTACAAGAATCCCAGCAATGTTAATTATATTCTCCTAGGTCATTTCACTGGCATTTTAAAATGAGAGAAGCTTAGTAGGACTGTTAAATAAACACACAGAGACCTTCGGCTCACACTGTCAAACATATCACCTCAGCCCCCCCTCACCCCTAGCTGGCTCCCTCCCTCCCTCCCTCCCTCCCGCATCTGCTCAGCCGGGGGTTTATTTAGGTTTACAGTTTTTATCTTATATAATATCTCAGAGTAAAGTTAGGAGATTATAATTTGCCTAGCTGGAATCCTTGCAAGACAGCCAATAATTTGAATATAAATGTCATATATTTTGCTGAAGAGATAAAAATTGTTGTACATTAGTGTACAGTACTGTAGTACATTTATAATATAAATTTTTTCATCTGTATTTTTGGGTAGATTTACTTCAATTTCTTCATATATTTTCATCCATTTACATGCACACACCATACTAAAAGAAACGCAAAAGAAATAAATGACCTAAGTGTAAAGCTGGAGTGTACATGTACTAATTTGGTTACGGTACTAAAATTGTTACTATGTCTAGTGCAAATTACAGCATATTTATATTCAAATTAATCAGTATCTTACAAGAATCACAGCAATGTAAATTATATTCACCCTGGTCATTTCACTGGCTTTTCATAAGAGAGAAGCTTAGTCACTTAAGAACTGATAAATATTCATGCATTAGACCTGGGCCTGTGCCAAATGTCAAACCACTCCCCTCCCCCTACGCCCCCTCGCTCGCTTGCTCCCTCCCTCCCTCCCTCTCCCCTATCTGCCCAGTGTTGCTGGAATCCTTGTAAAACACTTAATAATTTTAATATAAACGTCATGTGTTTTGCACAAGAGATAAAAATTAATCACCTGTTTCACATTACAGTAGTGATTTAAGAGTAAAATTGTATATGTACGTATATAGTATTCCACATACACGTAAGTATAAATACAAAGTTTATGTGATGATCGGACAACTTCCATTTCGGTTAACATCATGTTTCCATGAATTTATCTAAGACATTAACCGGCGCATGACTGTATATATATATACACACACACACACACACACACACACACACACAGTAGGCTCTCTCGCCAATAACGTTTAATAGGTTCCTGAAAAAAGCCGTTATTAGCGAAAACGTTATTTTGTGACATAAAATACATGTAAAAAGGGTTTATTGGTGCCACCGCCCCAAGAATTTCACCCAATTTTTCCCCTTAGAAAACCCTCCTATCACTTTTTGTTAGCTGAAATAAAAAGAATTGTTTTTCTATCATCAAAATAAAGAGTTTGAGTAATATAACACTTAGCTTGGGAGAGTTTTTGAGGTGCTTGGTGTGATGATTGTTCCGTATCTGAGGGTCGCTATGCACTCTCTTTCATTCTACAAGCTAACCATTTCACAAGAAAATGCTCTATTATCACTAACAACCTGTTTTTATCACTTTTATCATTTATAGCTCGCCTCTCATTTTCATCACTACCGAAATATTTCTTAGCCAGCGCAATACTCTTCTTTGTCTCCTCTAAGTTCCTCTTAATATTTCGCACTGTAGACTCAGGACAGTTCAATTTCCTCACAATATCAATGTTCTGTGCACCACTTTCAATGAGCTCAACAATCTGTTCTTTATCCTTAACCAAGTAGGTACTCTTCTTGTGGCTTTGTCTCTTAGCTTTGGGGTCTTTTTTCTCATTCACTTTATAAGTTCCCGGGCGTTCAGGCGGCAAATCACTCCCTCCCCCACCTCCCCTAACCCCCACAGGCAAAAATGCGGAAGCCATTGTTGATCACCGACCCTAGCAGCCACTGGTTATAGAGGCGAAAATGTTACACTTGGACGCAGCGCTGTATTCCAAGGGGTGTGTGTGCGAGTGAGGTGGAGAGAACAACTACGTCATCAACATGGTGGCAAACAAACGCTATCAGGGATGCGCACGGACCCTTCCCGCAAAATCTCCGTTATTCAAAAGAATCCACACATTATTATCGAAAATGGGTATCTATTGTAACTTACTGTTATTGTCAAAAACGTTATTGTGGAAGTCGTTATTGCCGGACTTTCGAAAATGCCGGAAAACTGATGGTTATATTTGCTGTATAAGTTTAACAGAAAATGACTACCTGTACAGTCCTTTAAACAAAGAAAATTAAACACTAAATGAAAAGCAAATGAAATTTTATTATATATGCTGTATACAGTAGTACCCCGATTACGTATGCGGTCAATTGTCAATTGAACCCACAGGGTACCACGGAAAGTGAAAACCCGTAAAGTGAACAACAGATCATATGGGATTAATTCCAATAGAGACTGGCCCAACCCCCAAACTCCACTTTTTCCGACACAATACCTATGTTGTAGTAAAAATAACATCTAAATTTTATGATGGTATGCTCACACAATTAATATTTAAGAGAAATACAGTCGCCAGGTTAATGTCCATTCAAATAATGGACTCAAATCCCTTTAGTAATAAATAATACCTCAGACTAAAGTTAGGATAATATAATTGACATTTCTGGATTCCTTGCAGGTCAGGGAATATTTTGAATGTAAACTTCATATATTTTGCACAAAAGATAAAATACTTGCTTTGTGTAAACCAAATTATTACATTAGATCTAAAATTTGTATGTCTAATGCAAAATCCATGATGTTTATATTCAAAATGATCATCATATTGTAAGAATTCCAGCAATGTAAATTATATTCTGGTCCAGTAATTTGTATGAATTTTATGAGCTAAAACAAATATCTTCAGTTAATAAAAAAAAAATATTCTTCACGACACTATCTGTCAATCAAAGTACCCCAACTTGCCTCCCCCCTCTTCCAACCGCGCCAGATGGTCGGTCGGTCGGTCCCAACCCTCCCCCCCACCCCCCACCTTCCCTCCCTACCAGAGAAATGTTGGGTGAAAAAACTAGATTTTAACTTTTAGTAATAAATAATACCTCAGACTAAAGTTAGGATAATATAATTGACATTTCTGGATTCCTTGCAGGTCAGGGAATATTTTGAATGTAAACGTCATATATTTTGCACAAAAGATAAAATATTTGCTTTGTGTAAACCAAATTATTACATTAGATCTAAAATTTGTATGTCTAATGCAAAATCCATGATGTTTATATTCAAAATGATCATCATATTGTAAGAATTCCAGCAATGTAAATTATATTCTGGCCGGGTAATTTGTATGAATTTTATGAGCTAAAACATATATCTTCATTAAATAAACAAAGAAATATTCTTCAAGGACACTATCTGTCAATCAAAATACTCAGCCCTAGCTGGGTCGGTCCCTCCCTCCCTCCCCCCCACCCCCCACCTTTCCTCCCTACCAGAGAAGCTTTGGGAGAAAATAGTAATTTACTTTTTTAGTAATAAATTATAACTCAGACTAAAGTTAGGATAATATAATTGACATTTCTGGATTCCTTGCAGGTCAGGGAATATTTTGAATGTAAATTTCATATATTATGCACAAAAGATAAAATACTTGCTTTGTGTAAACCAAATTATTACATTAGATCTAAAATTTGTATGTCTAATGCAAAATCCATGATGTTTATATTCAAAATGATCATCATATTGTAAGAATTCCAGCAATGAAAATTATATTCTGGCCGGGTAATTTGTATGAATTTTATGAGCTAAATAAAAAAAAAAAATTATACTTCACGCGTATATGAGTAGATGCACCGCGGAAAGTGAAAGTCCGGTTCTGGCAAGGTACCGCGTAAATGAGAAATCGCGGAAGGTGAAACCGTGTAAAGCGGGGTAATATTTTTAGGAGTGTTTCTGACTTTATGCATTTTTTGGCTTTACTTTGCATGTACGTTTCTGTGAGTTGGAACCAATTACCCAATATCCCATTGAAATAATGGATTCGATTAACAAAATTTTCGGTTAACGAATGACTCTGTGGAACGAATTGTGTTCGTTAACCAAGGGACCACTGTATTCTTATGGGAAAATTATGTTTAATTTACGCATTTTTTAATTAAGTGGTGATTTTCAAGAACGTAACCCCCGCGTGAAACGAAAGGTGGGTGTATAGTTTACACCTGAACTTTTGAATAAACTTAGTTTGACAACAGTGAAGATTTGAGGGCTTCATGACTGCCCCAAGGAAATGCTTGCCGATACCATGAATGGCTTAGGGAGCACAATTAAAACACCTGTTAAAGCACAAACTGAATGTCCAACACTTATACTGTAACAGAAAATGATCAGTGGATAAAGTAATGAATAGGAAGTGTTGTCTGCTTGGTTAATGACATGCCCCTGTTTTATGGCTGAATTATGATAAGAGTGCTTCTGTCAATTGAAATTCCTTACCTACCGTACCGGTAATTTCTTACTGGTTCATATAACCACTTTTGAATTTGGATCGTAATACAGATTCATGTAGTGAGACGATTGTTTGCCACAGGCTTGAAGTAAAGATATAGTCAAGGTCGATAAAGTTATCCTGCCACATAATATTTCATTACTTCTAGACATTAGCATGATCTGCCATTGTACCGGAACTTATTGGTTGTTCACTTGCTAAAGCATTTCAGGGTTTAAGAAATTATCATATTGGAGTTTGTATGATTATTTATTAGTTTATATTTTTTTTCAGGCTCATAGCAAGTCTCTAGACTCACTGCGTGAGGAGTTTGAGAAAGAGGCAGCAGCAATGGAAGCTAAGTCTGTCAAAAGAATAAAAACTTTACAGAATCAGCTTGATCTAAAACGTAAAACAGAGCTGATTGCACAAGAAGAAAAAAAGAATAATTTTCTGGCTACAATCATATCCAACCATGAGAAAACTTTTGAAGAGATGAAAAAATATTACACCGACATCACTGCAACTAACTTGAAGCTCATCACGGAATTAAAGGTAAATGAAAGTTTTTTGTCTTTTTTATCTGTTCCCATTAATGATGTGGATTTTCTATCTAAAAGCTCATATAAATTCATGTACAATGGGGTCTCATTTTACCCAAGTCTCGTGTACACAGTTATCACTTACACACAAAGCCATGGGTAGCAGTATAGCAGTAATTTCGTGATCTTTTGCTTATTTAGGTTAATTTGACAAAAAGGGGGGCTTTGGGTCAGCTGATACCACCCTGTACTGTAAACAAGAGACTACAATAGCTCATCTTGGATTGAGTGTTGGATTTTGGGGGAAAAATTAATTATTTTTCAATAATGTTTTAGTAACCCAGCACCAAATGAACTAAAATAGTATGGGGATTATGGTGAAATTGTATATTGTAGTTATAAAGGGATCACAGGGTGCTGAGCAGGAGATTGTAAGGTGTCCTCCCTCCCTTCCTCCTCCGCCTCCCCTCACATTTGCACCCAAACTTAGTTTTGTATCTTAACATAATTCATATGTTATTCCTATAATTCATTCATCTTAATCTATTTCATAATACAGTATATTACTATAATAATACATTGATATCCTCGTTAGTCGGAACAATTGGTGCAGAGCACTTCTGGGGATGAGAAATTTCCGGCTAACCAGGCGGTTTTCTCAAACCCGGAAAAATCCCCCATCTCCGGAATTATTTGCGGTTACTGGAAATACTTTCCGAGTGTTTAAACTATGTATCTTGCACAGACAAATACTAGCCCAAATCCTCAGAATGTTTCTGTGTGCTGGGGAGTTTTCCAAGAGTCGAAACTAAAAATCTATATGATATGGTCATGAATGAAGCTGTGTGTTACAGCAAAGACTGGTATTTTCAACTCCCTTGGAGCTGTGGGGGATTAGTGGGTCTCATGTAACTGACTTGACCTGACACACTGTCAGGTGGAGGTAGGGTGGGGTATTAGTGGCCTCATATTAATGACCTGATACAATGTCAGGTCACCCACTGTTGGGTGGGGAATTAGTGGGTCTCAGAACCTGAAGATGTCTTGAATAAACATTAAAGCTAAGATACAGTATGTTTTATACTTACACTTATCACAATGTATCCTTTCAACATTACGTTACATAACATTTTAAATTATGGACTGAGAAAGCAGAAACGTGTGTGTGATTAGAGAGATGGAGTGGAAAGGAGTGGTAACATCCACCAGTGTTGCCATTTAATAAGCTCCTCAACAGCTGATCTTTTAATTCACCACCATATAGTTAACCACACATAAATTTGTGTCATACAGTATGGGGTTTGTTTGGGTGGTGTTGGGTGTCTGTGTGTGATGTTGTGGTATTAAATAATAAATAAGCAATATTGTCCCATTAATGACAGTCGTTTGATGAATAGTAGCGTACTACAATTGTTACTACTATTCATCAAACTCCTGTACTCTCATTAACAATACAATATTGTTTATTTATTATTCATTAATTAATACCCCAACACCACATCATTCACACACACAACATCTAGTTCACAGTCTTTTTTTGTGAGACACTGTGAATTGGAGGGAGGCTGGGAGCAGGCAGGAGGGAGGCAGGGAGGCAAGGTGCAGTCAGGGGGAGGCAGGCAGGCAAGGTGCAGTCAGGGGGGAGGCAGGCAGGCAATAGGTGCAGTCAGCGGGGAGGCAGGCAGGCATGGTGCAGGCAGGGAGACTGGCACTCCCCCTTTCACCAATGATCAGCCTCTTATGGTGTATGTTTTATCATGGTTAATATAAAATATTAAACACATCAGAAAAAGTATGATGTATACAGTAATTATTAATTTGATATCAAAATTACATGACAAGCCAAATAATAAGGGAATTTTTTCACCCAGACCTCTCCACTAGGAGGAGGGTTGGCGATGGGTAAGCTTAACCATTACCAAATTTACCATTGTTTTATTTAATAATTACAGTACTGATACATTATAAAAAGTATTGCACTGTATATGAAGGGCAGGTATTAATAAGCACAGATTATTACAGTAAACATATCTTAATTAATTAATGAATAAAAAAGTAAAAATTATTACAATGGGAATGGCAGGCATGGGGAGGAGTAGGAGACGAACCTTTTGTGGGGTATGCGGTCAGTTTCCCCCCCGAAAAACCTTCCCCACCTTCTTACTCCATATTGAATTTAATATTTTATCAATGATAAAAATACACCATAAGTGGCTGATCATACGAGAATATATAATACTAAATGTTGGAGGGTGTGTGGTGGAGGTGTGTAAATTGGTATTAATAGCTGGGGCCCTTTTCTTGAAATGTATAAAATACATTAATGAAAATGAATGGAAATTATAATTAATAGATTAAAAACTGCAAAAAGTTACATGGTTCATCATTATTTTTTATTTGTATTTTTCCATAAATACTGTACAGGTATACTTACGTATATTAAAAAATTCCCTGAAAATCTCTTGATTTTATACTGTATTACTGTACTCATTAAAGAATCATCCATTATGCCACAAGTTGACTTGTGTTTCATAAACTATCCACATATATGTAGTAATCTCTTGGTGAGGGGGTGGGGGTGGTGCAGTCGGGAACCTCATAGCCATATGGACAGGAATGATTCTCGTCAGCTTACAGTTGCCATTTAGGGATTTTTCCAAAGCAATTATCAAATAGTATTTGGGATGAAATGAGCGGGTATTAGAGCTTATTGTGTTGATTTTGTGTACAGTAGGGTCGGAAAATATAGTGACTTTATATATAGATTTTTTAATATCGTGGCTACCAAAATTATCAAAATTTTCCAATATACAGCTGCTCCCTGATTTACGACGGGGTTAGGGACCCAAATCCAGGTCGTAAGTCGAAATGGTCGTAAGACGAAAATGCTTCAATAATACATAGAAAATCTAAAATGGGTGTCTCTTTTTCTTCTCAGCACCACAAAACTCTCACTTTTAAGCTTGCCAGCCATTTTAAAGTGAATTACAAACAAAAATTTTGTTAGTACACAGCGCAATCACTGACGTTGGGACTCGAAAATACGTACAGTAATTTGAAAATTTTTTCGTAAGACTGAGGCAGTCGTATGTCCGGGTGGTCGTAAGTCGAGTAGGTCGTAAGTCGGGGAGTAGCTGTATGGCGATAAATTTATTTACAGTGAACTCAAAACTTACATGGGGTTATGTTCTTGGGACCTCACATAAAGCCAAAGACCGTATAAAGTCAGAAACACTCCTAAAAATCCCCTAAATCGCCCCAAAAATACGAGTTGAAAACTGTACTGTACTTAAATGTACTCTAAAAGACTAAAATTTTATCTCTTGTACAAAATATATGATGTATATATTCAAATTATTCACTGTCTTGCAGGGATTCCAGTAATGCAATTTATATCCTGCTAACATTAGCCTGTGACATTTTATGAGATAAAAACTTTAAGCTTAAAACCACTTTCAATTTTGCCGGAAGCGGAGGGTGGAGGTGATGTACAGTCGACCCTCGTTAAAACGGACTAATAGGGGGGAAGAGTGTCCGTTTTAGCCGATTGTCCAAATTAACCGATTTAGGGGTTAATATTGCATTACATTACATTATACAGCTATATGTATGTTTATTTGAGTGCCCCATCATAGGAGTCCTTTTTGTCTCATTTCAGGACGCCTGAGTCCTCCGTTTTCTCTTAATCTTGGAGTGCAGTGCACCAGAGACTTCGTTATTCCTTAGTAATGACACAGAATTTGATATTGTAACTGGGGTTGCAATTGTTGAGGCAACTTAGGTACAGTAAAACCTCGATTAACCGACTTTCGGATTAACCGTCAATCCCGAACCCCTAAAATTTTTTTTTTAGCCCAGGGCATTAGGTCACTGACCCACATCGGGGCCTGGGGGCGATAATGTAATAATATTAATAATGATAATAATAATAATAATAATAATAATAATAATAATAATAATAATAATAATAATATAATAATAATAATAATAATATAATATAATACAGGTTGTACCTCTCTAGTCCGGCATTCTGTGGTCCGGAAACTCCCGTGGTCCGGAACGATTTTAGTTTGTCCAATAGGTAGATAGGCAGCTTTTTTTTTTTTTTTTTCCTTATCTGAATTATTATTATTATTACAGGAGTATTAAATTTTTGCCCCTCAGGCCCCAATGTGGGTCAGTGACCTATGCCCGGGTGGGCTAATCCCCTTAAAAAAAAAAAGCCGCGGGAAATTAAGGTTTGTTTACATCCGGCAGTTCGGCTGCTCTCTCTCTCTCTGCTTGTCTATACAGAGTACAACATTTAACCCTTCAATATATATGAGCAGTAAATAAGTGTTGCTTTCATATTCTTATGTAGAGTAATGACGATATATTTTCACATGTGCGCACTTACATACGAGCAGTCTCACTTTTTTTTTTACCATTAATGGTTAGCTACTTATATTGTTCCATTTATTAACATTAAATAACATTACAGGTACTTCAAGCAACCATATTCATTTTTTACATTAATTTTACTACAGCTAAACTCAGGGTCTTATTTTCTTCAGTTTTATATGTAGAACCAATCAGTCACTGGTTTCGTAAGCTTTAACATAAACAATGCCGGCAGCGGTCTCGTCTCCTCTAATATTCCACGTATTATTAATAAATTGTATTGTTAATTTTGCACACACGTACATTAATTCAATAAAAACAAATTCAGAAACATTAATTAGAATATATATGAACAGTAAATAAGTGTTGCTTTCATATTCTTATTTAAAGTAATGACGATATGTTTTCACGTGTGCGCATGCGCACTTACATATGCGATCTCTCTTTTTCTTTACCATTATCGTAAGCTACTTCTATTGTTCCATTTATTAACATTAAATAACATTACTTAAAACAACCATATTAATTTTACTACAGCTACAACCAAGGTCTTATTTTCTTCAGTTTTATATGTAGAACCAGTCAGTCACTGGTTTTGTAATCAACGAAAACAATGCTGTGTTATTTCCTCGT